CTTAAAGCACAGGAGGAATGCCCAAGAAATCACCCAATAAATCTATGAAAGGCTCACTACGGAGCAATTGCATGAAGGCTGTTTACTAAATAAGTGGGTAGGACTGTAAAGAAACAATTAAGTTCTACTGAACCAAGATCTTCCCTGCATACCTATGTCCAATGTACTTAAAAAGTGATCTGGTTTTAATGGAATGCAGGTAGGAAATTAAGGCCTAGAAATCAGTAGATATTCAACACTCAAACTTTCTCCTCCATATTTGTTGCAAAAAGTTTGAAAGGATTGACTCTCCATTTAGGATATTGCTCCTAAATGTTCTCTGTTTTAGCTGATCCCTAATCCTTCTTCCTCTCTAACAGCAGCAGAACAGAATGCACTGAAGACCACACAAATACATAACACAGGTACATTTTACACTGCATGTGGGAGGAAAAGCTCCTAGATGGGATCTCATCGCAGTACGAATGAGTGGTCAGAAGTACAGGAAGAAAGCTAGATCATTAATTGGGAGTAATCTAATTAATGGATTCTGGCTAATCCAAACCCAGCTGCTCTAAATAAGCAACCAGCCATGGAATTCAGGATGTGAACAGAGCTGGAGCTGCGTGATCTTTTAGATGCACCAGAAACATAGTGACAAAGGGTAATAAACAATGAACAAAATAATTGCTTGCTCAAATATTTCAGAATAAGAAGACTAAAAGCACCATAAAAGTGGGCCAAAAGGTATACACATTGTATAATGGATATAATTTGCCTTTTGACATTGCCTGGCTGCAGCATGCGTCGAGCTATCCCCTAGCGTACCCAACAGCCCCAAACACACAAAGGTGATTTTAGCCATAATGAAGGAATCTCTTTCCTGTATCCATCTCCCCACCACAGCACGCTACTATTCTCCCAAATTTCCTCAAATCTGTCCTCTGCGTCTATTCCTGTTTCCATTAGCTCTGCTCTGACTTTTCCTCACCTAGTCTTTCCTCAGCCTTATCTCAGCTCTTCCTTTAATCTGAGGGTTTTCCCACACCACCCTGATGTGAGGGCTGCTTCTGGACCATTTTCTTGTGTTTCAGATAGGAAGCAGGAAGGAGAAAAGAAAATGCAGTCAAGTCAAATGGGATCTTAATTTTGGCAGACAAGTCACATCATAGCTAAGACCTCGTCATGGACTTCCACAGAAGTCCATACTACATAGTACATTTTAATTACATAGGAGTACATTTTAATTGCTCTAACAGAATACTCCACTGCTAATCCTGAAAATAGAAACATTCAGAACATGAGAAAAGTCAACACGGAACCAAAAAGAAATAACAATGATCCCAGGAGAGTTTGGGATCATCCAACTATAACCCAAAAATACCAACTTACTGTAACCTGTATAGCTGCATTCTGCCTGAACGGCTTCTTAAGCAAGCGAGTTGCATGAAGCGCCGTGTGAGCTACATGTCATCTGCTCAGCCGTTAACTGGGACAGCCTGGAGTGACAGCTTAAATATCGGTATTGTTAATTTTTGTTCTACAAGTCATTCCAGCAGACTTAAATTGTTTAAGTCAAAATATGAGACTTGCTCCAAAATCCAGGCAAGGTTATAAAAAACCTTGCTCCAATTATCCACCCTTCAGCTGTCAAACAAAAACGCTACCGAAAGCAGCTTCTACAATTGCTATCAAAATCTGTGCCATTAAAAACTAAAGGTGTAAAGATATCGTAAAATGATTGGAATCTAAGATGAAAGAAAATGAACAGTTTGTTTTTTTGTGATGAGTTTAGATGGTATAAATTCAAACGCATGCTTTATAGGTGATATTTTTCCAGAACTTTTCTATTTTAACAAGAATAATTTCTAATAAATGGTCACATCAGAGGATGAAGCTTGGTACAATCTAACAACTGAAGCAACCATGGCAATTAAAGCAACACATGAAGTGCAACATGTGAAGTTTGACAGTCATATTTCTTTGTTTCCTTTCTAATTGCCAGTGATCACTGTCAGGAGATTATTTCATTTTGCTTTTGTAAGTAACAAAAATAAATAAATAAGAAATATCCCTGTGTATAGAGTGCTAGAAACTATTCCCAAATTGCGAGGCCATAGAGTATTATTTTAATGAAGCAGTAGCAACAATTATAAAGGGAATGCTAACGATGTTACAGCAGTGCTATGCATTATCACAAGCTTCTAGAAAAACACATAAGCAAGAAGCTTTAGAAAGGAAATTATTTCTTTTGCACATGTATTGTGTAGCATTATGTTTTGTGTTCATTAAAGAATGACACACAAAAGGATTAAATACCAGTTGCCACAGTAACAGGGCTAATGGCATCTTTGTCCTCTTTCTGCATTCTCTCAGAGCCTACCCTTAGCTTTCAGATTCACATTCCCACCTCTTACAGGAGGAAGTTTTAATTTTTTTTCACTTTTAGACCAGGTCTCAGCCTGTGTTATCACTTACTGAGGAGTTTATCTGGCACAGCACATTATTTCAAGCTTTTCTCTTCTTCCCTTCAGTGATCTGATAACTTCTTAAGAATAGTTTTCAGTGTAAAGTAAAACAGCACTGTTTAAAAACAACATTCTGGCTCTGTGCCTGTACTATGCCAGGATTTATCACCTCCTGTCGATAAACTAGGCAGATACCTTCAAAATCCTCAGTCAGATCTTTATGCCTCAGTCTAATTTTCATGATCAAAAATTCCTCTTAGATTGTTTTTAAATGCCATTTTTCTCTTATTGCTGATGTTTTAGGGATTTTCATAGGCTACATTGTCTCTCAGAGCCTTCTGTGTATTTGCTGAGGGATGGCTCACACTGAGTTATTCTTTTTCTTTCTGACAGAGCACTTGTAAAATAAATTGGTGTATTCATATTATAAACATCCAAACAGATTAATATGTAGAACATAATTACTACACTATTTAGAATCCATTACTTCTCCAAAACAGCTGATTTCCATGCTAAAGAAGTTCATGAATATGTTCGTTATAAGAACTATGCTGAGCCTAGTGCAAGAAAATGGTCTTTGTACCACAAACTTGTCACTTGAGATTGCAAGATAAGGTGCGAATGTACCCTGTAAGTAAAAACTGCATTTAAAATTAATGCAATTACACAAACACATTGAGTTCTTATGGGTCACTGTACACCACACTACAAAAAAAAAAAAAAAAAAAACTTAAAGAATTAAAGCGACAAATATCTAGGAAGATTGCCCAGAAGGCATATAATTATTTGTCACTTACATTCCATCCCATTTGTATTACTTCCCTTATCATCGTGTCTTTTATTTTGTTCTGGACATACGCTAATTATATACCATTGATTCAATATGTTTAGAAGTTCACCAAATTCTTGTAATTTGGCATGCTAAAAGAATATTACTTAGGACTTTTTAAAAATTTCATATTGCAGTGTCTTAGTGGAGAAGAATATTAACAAAATTTAAGTAGCCTCTGGCTGTCAGAATAAGTACGTGCTTCACAAATATTACTGATAAAAGCTTGACGGCCACTTCTTCCAAATTCTGCCATTCTCTGCACGTTCTTGCATCTGGCTGGGCACCTTCCAAGTAAATTTTCCATGTTTTTATAAAACTCTCCATGTTGTATCTTGCCTTGTTTGACATTCAGTCCCTGCTCTGCTCTTCTTCCCTCTTTCCTGCAGAAATGTGATTTTAGCATTCCACTTATTTAAATGTATAAGCCGCTTTGAAAGTACTTTCCTCTTTTGCTGACCATTACAATTCAAAGGATTCCTCCAGGTATCCTTCATAAAACTTTCAATGATTCTGTATTTATTCCCCCTTACTCTCCAGTTGTTTCAAATTCTATTAATTGCTACTTATTTAAAGCCAGCAAATAGATGTTTGGGCCTTATAAGCCAAATTCTAGTGAAGAGGTAATGTGAATCAGCAAAAGCAAACAGAAAATATAAAATAAAATTATGCGACATGGGATTTTATTTATTTATTTATTTATTTTAGAGAACGAGATATTTGAGGGTGCCTCAGGAGGCTAAAAACACACCTCCGGCTAATTGTTATGGGAATTGTCCTCTTAAAACACTTCGGGTAAAAAAAAAAGTATGAAGCATTAGGATTATTTATCCATATTTTGTTGCTCCCCATAGGAAATGGAAGTTGTGTTTCGGGAATAACCCATTGCGGCTGGAAAAGGACGACACGCGGTGGAAATGAAGAGACTTGGGCGCTGAGAAGCTCGCCCCGGGTTTTCCACACAAACCCATGGCTCCCCGGGCCGGGCTGTGGCGCTCCCGCTCCCGCTCCCGCTCCCGCTCCCGCTCCCGTTCCCGTTCCCGTTCCCGCTCCCGCTCCCGCTCCTTACCTCGGCCAGCCTGGAGCCGCGCTCCCTGGGGCTGCC